ATTTATATAAAATTAATCGATTATCGCGGAATCTTCAAATTTGGTATAACCTAACCTCAATCGTTTCTTTATAACCTCAAAAAGTTTCATTTCTTAAATACTAACCGTTTTAGAGAAAAATTTTTTTTCGTTAACCTCATTTTCAACAAACGTCAAATTGAGTAGGTGATTTTTAAAAATTTATATAAAATTAATCGATTACCGTGGACTCTTCAAATTTGGTATAACCTAACCTCAAACGTTTCTTTATAATCTCAAAAAGTTTTATTTCTTAAATCCTAACCGTTTTGGAGAAATCAATTTTTTTCTTTAACCTCACTTTCTGCAATCGTCAAATTGAATAGGTGATTTTTAAAAATCTATATAAAATTAATCAATTACCGTGGAAACCTAGAATTTGGTGAAACCTAACCTCAAACGTTTCTTTATAACCTCAAAAAGTTTTATTTCTTAAATCCTAACCGTTTTGGAGAAATCAATGTTTTTATTTAACTTTGTTTTTAAGAAATGTCATGTTTATGTACAAAGTTTGATGTAATCTAACCTCAAACGTATCTTTAGAATTTTTGACATTTAATCTGTCAAATTTGACACATCTTGATATTTTGATGTCAGAAAATCTTTTCTTTTAACATTTATGACATTTAAACTGTCAAATTTGACATTTCCAGATATTTCAATATCAAGAAATCTTTTATTTCTTGCATTTTTGACATTTAAACTGTTAAATTTGGCATTTTAGTGTCAAGAAATTTATTATTTTCAAAATTTGTGACATTTAAACTGTCAAATTTGACACATCTTGATATTTTGATGTCAGAAAATCTTTTTCTTTTAAAATTTTTGACATTTAAATTGTCAAATTCAACATTTCATGACAATTTAATATAAGAAATCTTTTTCTTTTAGAATTTTTGACATTTAAACTGTCAAATTTGACGTTTTAATATCAAGAAATTTATTATTTCCAAAATGTTTGACATTTAAACTGTCAAATTTGACACATCTTGATATTTTGATGTCAGAAAATCTTTTTCTTTTAACATTTTTGACATTTAAGCTGTCAAATTTGACGTTTTAATATCAAGAAATTTATTATTTCCAAAATTTCTGACATTTAAACTGTCAAATTGGGCACACCTTGATATTTTGAGGTCAGAAAATCATTTCTTTTAAAATGTTTGACATTNTCATGACAATTTAATAGAAGCAATCTTTTTCTTTTAGAATTTTTGACATTTAAACTGTCAAATTTGACGTTTTAATATCAAGAAATTATTTATTTCCAAAATTTCTGACATTTAAACTGTCAAATTTGACACATCTTGATATTTTGATATCAGAAAGTCTTTTTCTTTTAACATTTTTGACATTTAAACTGTCAAATTTGACACCTTGATATTTTGATGTCAAAAAACCTTTTTGTTTTAAAATTTTTGACATTTAAATTGTCAAATTCAACATTTCATGACAATTTAACACAAGAAATTTTTTTCTTTTAGAATTTTTTACATTTAAACTGTCAAATTTGACATTTCTAAACATTTTAATATCAAGAAATCTTTTATATCTAGTATTTTTGACATTTAAGTTGTCAAATTTGACATTTTAATATCAAGAAATTTCACCTTTCCATAACTTTTGACATTTAAACTGTCAAGTATGACATATTTTCAAATTTTAAAATAAGAAAATCTTTTTCTTTTAAAGTTTTTGACATTAAACTGTCAAATTTGACATATCTAGACATTTTAATATCAAGAAATCTTCTATTTCTTGTATTTTTGATATTTAAACTGTCAAATTTGACNACTTTGTTTTTAAGAAATGTCATGTTTATGTACAAAGTTTGATGTAATCTAACCTCAAACGTATCTTTAGAATTTTTGACATTTAATCTGTCAAATTTGACACATCTTGATATTTTGATGTCAGAAAATCTTTTCTTTTAACATTTATGACATTTAAACTGTCAAATTTGACATTTCCAGATATTTCAATATCAAGAAATCTTTTATTTCTTGCATTTTTGACATTTAAACTGTTAAATTTGGCATTTTAGTGTCAAGAAATTTATTATTTTCAAAATTTGTGACATTTAAACTGTCAAATTTGACACATCTTGATATTTTGATGTCAGAAAATCTTTTTCTTTTAAAATTTTTGACATTTAAATTGTCAAATTCAACATTTCATGACAATTTAATATAAGAAATCTTTTTCTTTTAGAATTTTTGACATTTAAACTGTCAAATTTGACGTTTTAATATCAAGAAATTTATTATTTCCAAAATGTTTGACATTTAAACTGTCAAATTTGACACATCTTGATATTTTGATGTCAGAAAATCTTTTTCTTTTAACATTTTTGACATTTAAGCTGTCAAATTTGACGTTTTAATATCAAGAAATTTATTATTTCCAAAATTTCTGACATTTAAACTGTCAAATTGGGCACACCTTGATATTTTGAGGTCAGAAAATCATTTCTTTTAAAATGTTTGACATTCAAATTGTTAAATTCAACGTTTCATGATAATTTAATACAAACAATCTTTTTCTTTTAGAATTTTTGACATTTAACTGTCAAATTTGACGTTTTAATATCAAGAAATTTATTATTTCCAAAATTTCTGACATTTAAACTGTCAAATTTGACAGACCTTATATTTTGATGTCAAAAAACCTTTTTGTTTTAAAATTTTTGACATTTAAATTGTCAAATTTAACATTTCCTGACAATTTAATGGAAGAAATCTTTCTCCATTAAAATTTTTGACTTTAAACTGTCAAATTTGACATTTCTAGACAATATAATATCAAGAAATCTTTTATTTCTTGTATTTTTGACATTTAAACTGTCAAATTTGTCATTTTAATATCAAGAAATTTATTATTTCCAAAATTTCTGACATTTAAACTGTCAAATTTGACATTTCTGTACATTTTAATATCAAAAAATCTTTTATTTCTTGTATTTTTGACATTTAAACTGTCAAATTTGACGTTTTAATATCAAGAAATTTATTATTTCCAAAATGTTTGACATTTAAACTGTCAAATTTGACACATCTTGATATTTTGATGTCAGAAAATCTTTTTCTTTTAACATTTTTGACATTTAAGCTGTCAAATTTGACGTTTTAATATCAAGAAATTTATTATTTCCAAAATGTTTGACATTTAAACTGTCAAATTTGACACATCTTGATATTTTGATGTCAGAAAATCTTTTTCTTTTAACATTTTTGACATTTAAGCTGTCAAATTTAACATTTCCTGACAATTTAATGGAAGAAATCTTTCTCCATTAAAATTTTTGACTTTAAACTGTCAAATTTGACATTTCTAGACAATATAATATCAAGAAATCTTTTATATCTAGTATTTTTGACATTTAAGTTGTCAAATTTGACATTTTAATATCAAAAAATTTCACATTTCCATAACTTTTGACATTTAAACTGTCAAGTATGACATATTTTCAAATTTTAAAATAAGAAAATCTTTTTCTTTTAAAATTTTTGACATTAAACTGTCAAATTTGACATTTCTAGACATTTTAATATCAAGAAATCTTTTATATCTAGTATTTTTGACATTTAAGTTGTCAAATTTGACATTTTAATATCAAAAAATTTCACATTTCCATAACTTTTGACATTTAAACTGTCAAGTATGACATATTTTCAAATTTTAAAATAAGAAAATCTTTTTCTTTTAAAATTTTTGACATTAAACTGTCAGATTTGACATTTCTAGACATTTTAATATCAAGAAATCTTTTATTTCTTGTATTTTTGATATTTAAACTGTCAAATTTGACATTTCTAAACATTTTAATATAAAAAAAATGTTTAAAATCTCTAATCTGTCAAATTTGACACTTCTAGGCATTTTAATATCAAGAATCTATTATTTCTATAATTTTTGACATTTAAACTGTCAATAATAACTGTCAAATTTATTTGTTATAAGTTATTTACCTTTTTATTTATTGATTTCTCCTTTATAAAACTCAAATCTCATTTAATCTTGAAACGATCACAACAAATCAATTTTTTTTAACAAACTTAAAAAACACGTCCGGTCAATTGAACGGAAACGAACCGAATGGAACGAATAAATCGAGGCTGGATTTAAAGGATTCTGTTAACAGGATACAGGAAATCCTCACGCGATGATTTTCAAAGACCGTTTTTGTACAATCAATAAACACCGTCGGTTAAATTATTAAAATTTATTAATTAAAAAAAACTTACCTTAAAAATTAATATCTTTTTAACTCAAATAACTTTTTTAATAAACCAAAAATTGTGTTAACAAAATCTTTCTTATTTCTTTGAAGATTTGGCCTAAACTGATCTTAAGAGGCACCCCTCAAAGAATATAAGGGATAAAATCATCCCCACTCTACCAAAAAAAAATAAATAATTTTTGAATGAAATTTTCGTACAACTTCCGTTCTTTTTTTTTGTTGTGTACTTCTTAGAAGATTCCGGTTTCGTTCAAATTTATGGGATACAATGGGAAGCGAAAAAGAAGGGGAATAACCGTAAAGAGAAGAAATAGGTCTTTACAAATCATCCCTATCCCTTTTTGGGACGCTTCCTCCGCGAATCCGGCCTTTATTACGGCACGTTCGAGTCGTTTCCGGCTTCTATTTCCGTTCAATTTCAACAGTTTTACCCGGAAACGCAGAATTTCCTGTTTATTTATTTTTACCTTTTTTTCTTTATTTCTATTTTTGTTCGAAACATTCATAATACGTTTGTTTATAACGTTCTCTTATATAACTTTTTTTTATGTAATTAATTTAATTTTAAATTTTTAAATTATTGAGGTTATTAATTAAAATTAGGTTATGATAATAGATGGCGCTATTAAACGTCCAATTAATTAACTTTATTTATTTAATTAATTAATTATATTTAAATAAAATTAATCTAAATTTAATTATTTATGTTTTAAATTTTAATTTATTTTTATTTTAATTGCAGAAAACAACAGTGAGAAGTTAGTTACCAATTTTTATCGACGCTAAGTTTTTGACACCTCACCACAAGATGCCTTAAAATTTTTGATTTTTCACCTAAAAATGATTAAAAGTGTTTCAATCTATTCATTCCAAGGTAAAGACATCATTATTCCTCTTATATTTATAATAATTTTGATCTCTTTTCTTATTATAGCTTTCTAATTACGTTTGAAGACACTATAACATCAGATAAGGTAGGTTATAATGTTTATTTTTATTGATATGCTTTGTTTAATGCTTTAATTAAACAATTTGGATTAATTTAATAATAAAAAAATTATTATTTTTATTAAAAAAGTTAGATTAAATAGTGGCCGATAAAGTAGATTCCTTTATATCGTATCCTTCTTTATCGGCGCTAAATTTATTACAGTTATTAAAACGTTAATTCTTATTAATTCATAATGATAATCATAATTCATATATAATTCATAATTTTTTCGTAGTAAAAATATTTCATATAAATAAACATTGATTGTGAAGTTAGTTACCACTTTTTACCGACGCTACGTTTTTGACACCTCACCAAAAGATGACTTAAAAGTGTTTAAATCCACTTATTTCAAGGTAAAGATATCATTAATCTTCTTATATTAATAACAATTTCGTTGTATTTTGTTGTGATGGCTTTTTAATTAACTTTGCGGAGACAAAATTAGGTGAATTAGTGGCCGATAAGTAGATTCCTTTATGTCATATCCTTCTTTATCGACGCTAAATTGATGGCAGTTATTGATTTGAGGTTCAAAATTCGATTTATTCGTATTAATTCGTTATGACGAAGTGATAAATAACGTTAGATTTTCGTGAGGAGTGATTAGAGTTTTCGTGGTAAGAATATTTGTTATAAATAAGTGATTGAGGTTATGTTTTGTTGTTAATTTTGACATTTGTAAGGTTGTTGTGAATGAATCACAACCATATCACTACAAAAACGTATAATGTTTGTTGTTTGTCTCAATTTGTTGTGTTATTTAAATCGGTTAAAAGCAGAAATCATCAGTGTGAAATTAGTTATCACTTTTTACCGACGCTAAGTTTTTGGCACCTCACTAAAAGATGACCTACAAGTGTTTAAATCTACTTATTTCAAGGTAAAGATATCATTAATCTCCTTATATTAATAATAATTTTGTTGTGATGGTTTTTTAATTAACTTTGCGAACACAAAATTAGGTTAATTAGTGGTCGATAAAGTAGATTCCTTTATGTCATATCCTTCTTTATCGATGCTAAATTTATGACAGTTATTGATTTGAGGTTCAAAATCCGATTTATTCGTATTAATTCGTTATGACGAAGTGATAAATAACGTTAGATTTTCGTGAGGAATGATTAGAGATTTCGTGGTAAGAATATTTGTTATAAATAAGTGTTTGAGGTTATGTTTTGTTGTTAATTTTGACATTTGTAGGGTTGTTGTGAATGAATCACAACCATATCACTACAAAAACTTATAATGTTTGTTGTTTATCTCAATTTGTTGTGTTATTTAAATCGGTTAATAGCAGAAATCATCAGTGTGAAATTAGTTATCACTTTTTACCGACGCTAAGTTTTTGACGCCTCACTAAAAGATGACCTAAAAGTGTTTAAATTCACTTATTTCAAGGTAAAGATATCATTAATCTTCTTATATTAATAACAATTTCGTTGTATTTTGTTGTGATGGCTTTTTAATTAACTTTGCGGACACAAAATTAGGTTAATTAGTGGCCGATAAGTAGATTCCTTTATGTCATATCCTTCTTTATCGACGCTAAATTGATGACAGTTATTGATTTGAGGTTCAAAATCCGATTTATTCCTATTAATTCGTGATAAATAACGTTTAAATTCGTGAGGAATGATTAGTTTTTTCGTGGTAAGATTATTTGTTATAAATAAATGTTTGAGGTGATGTTTTGTTGTTAATTTTGATATTTGTAGGGTTGTTGTGAATGAATCACAACAAAAACGTATAATGTATCTCAATTTGTTGTGTTATTTAAATCGGAAGGCGGACGGATGGAAGGAAAAGTGGGGCCCCTAAAGTTGGAGATCGGCGCGGTGGTCTGACGGGTTTTATCTTCGGTAAAACATCTAGTAATTGCCGGGCAGGCGATCAGTTAGGGCCGAAACTCGCCACCGAGTTGGAAAAAGAAACAACAAATGGTTTTTTAAAAAAATTAATTTTTTTTGTAGGATTTTTATGGGTATTTTCAAGACAAGTTGTCTTTTTTAACGGTTTCTATCCAAACATCAATAAAAAAAGTAAATAAAACTAGTCTATTAGCAGCAAGAAAAAAAGGGGAAAAGAAAAAACGATTGGAATGTTTAAGAAATACAGATCGAAACGGAAGGGAACGGGGTCCGAACCGTTGGGGCTCTCTTCCGAAGTGACAACTGACATCCAGCAACATTAATCTTTGTTAGGGCATTCATTGTCGAGTATGACAATGCGTTTCGTGAGCGGGCCCCCTCCTTCAACGTAGACGACGTCGCGGAGATCCGATCGCGTATCGACTCTATTGACCGTTGGGGTTCGGGGCCCCCGCTTTCTAAAATGTGATCATTTGCTCAAAGAAGCCGTTCGTTTGATTTTTTTATCAATATCTTTTATACTTTAATAAATAGAAACGTGGAAAACGCTTTTTTTTGAAGGACCACCAAAAATTTTTGGATCTAATTTAATGACTTAGTCGCAGGTGGTGAAGATGTGTCATAAAATCGAATCACGTTTTATTGTTTAATAAAACTGTTGCGTATTCTTCGTTCGACACCAAGGCCGTGGTAAAACGGACGGTTTCCCACATACGAAATTCTCAGTTCGTTCTCAAAATAGATGGGGATCTGTTAATACCAAGAAATCTCGACAAGTACAGGTTCATCTTTTTTATTTTAGTTATTTGACCATTAAAAATTTCATCATTTTAAGAGCCGTTTATGATTGCGGGTGGATTTTATTATTAATTTTATGAAATTTCACCGTTATTTCAAATTTAAACCGAGGAAATATTAATATTAATAAGCGTTAAAACGTTTTATTATCGCGAAATAATATGCAATTTAATAACGCAAAGTTTAACCTTAGCGTAAAGTGTAAATATGATTGTTTTTTTTGTTAACTTAGGATGTTAAAGAATTAAGAGTCCCTTTAAATAATATGTTAATCCCCGGACTTCATTTTCATAATGAAGACGTAAAATGGGCCGTAAGCCGTTATCCTAAGCACATAATCCCCATTTGGACATGTGTCACCCGTATAATTGCTCGAAAATCGATGATTTAAGATATATATATATAGATGTGGTATTTGAGATTGATTTTCTTTAGAAATTGAATAAAAAAAAATCTTGTTGGTAGAAGTAAAGTTTTAGTAGTCGTGTCCCCTTCGACGACCATTCCGCGCGGCAATAAAACCCGTCGCAGCGCAACCGGGAACGAAACTATATTTTCAAACAGATCCGTCACATAAATTACAAATTTAATAGAGCCCGGTTTTCTCTTCACCGGGGGCCCCCCCTCTTTGTCTGGGCCGCGCGGCGCTCCCACCCACTGTTAGCGCGACGTTGGCGATGCCTCTCCGCATTTTATAGGGGCGATAATGTAAAATAATTAATAATATATACCGCCGCAACGGCCCCAACGCTAAAAACCGCCGTCCCCCAATGAAACCATATTTGCAAACCACTCGTTTTCTACAAGTTATGATTTTAACTCCTTTTTCTTCTTTCACTCGGCGATATTAAAATTTCAAATCATTCAAAGTTACTTCTCGTTATCATTTTTTCGTTTCGACCAAAAAACATAAATTTACAATTTACAGCTAATATGTCAAAAGTGACATTTAAACGTTGACATTTCTTTTAGCGTTTAACGTTGCGGTTTCTTCATCCGCATTCTTTCTACTCGAGACTTACAAATATTAATTGTGACTAAGCTGTATATCAAATGTTGTAGATATAACCGTTTCACACAGTCAAAATAGTACCTGGATGAAGTGGAGGAGACCTGAATTAAGAAAATCTTTGTGAATGAAAATTTGATGCTAATTAAGTCTATGTACTGCTGATAGACGACTAAATATTCTTGGTAGAAGACTTTATTGCTTACAGACGATTAGATACTGTTATCAGAAGGCTAATACTGTTGTCAGATGGTGAGATGCTATTTGCAGAAGGCTAGATTTGCTTAAAACTTGGTATTATCTCTAATGGATGCAAGTCCACTTCAAAAGTCTTTTGGCTAAATATTGCAGTTAGATGCTGTTTGTAAAAGACTCGATACTGCTTGCTGAATACTACTTATTACTGGCAGAAAACTACATTTGCAGTAGTTTCCTTTTATTACTGCAATCTATCGCATACAACAACAATAAACAGTATAATTTAATGATACAAAAAAATATATAACAATAATAACACAATAGGACCCGATGAATAAATAGCAAGTCCAAAAGAAAACCATATTAATGCATGATTATGACAAACAATAACATTTTTATACACTTTTGACTTTTTATAAATTTGTTTTTAAACTGTCAATTTAAAGCTGTCAACTACTTTTATTGTAATTTGACTCAAGGGTTAAATTGAATAGGTAATTTTTAAAAATGTATATAAAATTAATTGATTACCGTGGAAATTTAAAATTTGGTACAACCTAACCTCAAACGTTTCTTTATAACCTCAAAAAGTTTTATCTCTTAAATCCTAACCGTTTTGGAGAAATCAATTTTTTTCTTTAACCTCACTCACAATAAACGTCAAATTGAATAGGTGATTTTTAAAAATGTATTTAAAATTAATCGATTACCGCGGAATCTTCAAATTTGGTATAATTTAACCTCAAACGTTTCTTTATAACCTCAAAAAGTTTTATTTCTTAAATCCTAACTGTTTTGGAGAAATCAATTTTTTTCTTTAACCTCACAATAAACGTCAAATTGAATAGGTGATTTTTAAAAATTTATATAAAATTAATCGATTATCGCGGAATCTTCAAATTTGGTATAACCTAACCTCAAACGTTTCTTTATAACCTCAAAAAGTTTTATCTCTTAAATCCTAACCGTTTAGGGGAAATCAATTTTTTTCTTTAACCTCGCTTTCAACACGTCAAATTGAATAGGTAATTTTTAAAAATTTATATAAAATTAATCGAGTACCGCGGAATCTTCAAATTTGGTATAACCTAACCTCAAACGCTTCTTTATAACCTCAAAAAGTTTTATTTCTTAAATCCTAACCGTTTTGGAGAAATCAATTTTTTTCTTTAACCTCACTCACAATAAACGTCAAATTGAATAGGTGATTTTTAAAAATGTATATAAAATCAATTCATTACCGTGGAAACTTAAAATTTGGTACAACCTAACCTCAAACGTTTCTTTATAACCTCAAAAAGTTTTATCTCTTAAATCCTAACCGTTTAGGAGAAATCAATTTTTTTCTTTAACCTCGCTCTCAACACGTCAAATTGAATAGGTGATTTTTAAAAATTTATATAAAATTAATTGAGTACTGCGGAATCTTCAAATTTGGTATAACCTAACCTCAAACGTTTCTTTGTAACCTCAAAAAGTTTTATTTCTTAAATCCTAACCGTTTAGGAGAAATCAATTTTTTTCTTTGACCTCACTCTCAACAAACGTCAAATTGAATATGTGATTTTTAAAAATTTATATAAAATCAATCGATTACCGCGGAATCTTCAAATTTGGTACAACCTAACCTCAAACGTTCCTTTATAACCTCAAAAAGTTTTATTTCTTAAATCCTAACAGTTTAGGAGAAATCAATTTTTTTCTTTAACCTCACTCATAATAAACGTCAAATTGAATAGGTGATTTTAAAAAAATGTATATAAAATTAATCGATTACCGCGGAATCTTCAAATTTGGTATAACCTAACCTCAAACGTTTCTTTATAACCTCAAAAAGTTTTATTTCTTAAATCCTAACCGATTAGGAGAAATCAATTTTTTTCTTTAACCTCACTCTCAACAAACGTCAAATTGTATAGGTGATTTTTAAAAATGTATATAAAATTTATCGATAACCGCGGAATCTTCAAATTTGGTATAACCTAACCTCAAACGTTTCTCTATAACCTCAAAAAGTTTTATTTCTTAAATCCTAACCGTTTCGGAGAAATCAATTTTTTTTTAACTTTGTTTTTTAAGAAACGTCGTATACAAATGGGATTTTTATATTATTCTTAAAAAAANGTTTCTTTATAACCTCAAAAAATTTTATCTCTTAAATCCTAACCGTTTAGGAGAAATCAATTTTTTTCTTTAACCTCGCTCTCAACACGTCAAATTGAATAGGTGATTTTTAAAAATGTATATAAAATTAATAGATTACCGCGGAATCTTCAAATTTGGTGTAATCTAACCTCAAACGTTTGTTTATAACCTCAAAAAGTTTTATTTCTTAAATCCTAACTGTTTCGGAGAAATCAATTTTTTTCTTTAACCTCACTTTCAACAAACGTTAAATTGAATAGGTGATTTTTAAAAATGTATATAAAATTAATCGATTATCGTGGAAACTTAAAATTTGGTACAACCTAACCTCAAACGTTTCTTTATAACCTCAAAAAGTTTTATCTCTTAAATCCTAACCGTTTAGGACAAATCAACTTTTTTCTTTAACCTCACTCTCAACAAACGTCAAATTGAATTGGTGATTTTTAAAAATTTATAAAAAATTATTCAATAACCGTGGAATCTTAGAATTTGGTACAACCTAACCTCAAACGTTCTTTTATAACCTCAAAAAGTTTCATTTCTTAAATCCTAACCGTTTCGGAGAAAAATTTTTTTTCTTTAACCTCATTTTCAACAAACGTCATATTCAGTAAGTGATTTTTAAAAATTTATATAAAATTAATCGATTACCGCGGAATCTTCAAATTTGGTATAACGTAACCTCAAACGTTTCTTTATAACCTCAAAAAGTTTTATTTCTTAACTCCTAACCGTTTCGGAGAAATCAATTTTTTTCTTTACGTTTGGTTTTTAAGAAACGTCGTATACAAATGGGATTTTTATATTATTCTTAAAAAAAACCTGTTGATGCCAGAAATTTTACGTTTGGTGTAATCTAACCTCAAACGTTTCTTTATAACCTCAAAAATTTTAATTTTTAATATTATTTTTTGACATTTAAACTGTCAAATTTGACACATCTTGATATTTTATGTCAGGAAATCTTTTTCTTTTAGCATTTTTGACATTTAAACTGTCAAATTCGACATATTAATATCAAGAAGTTTACTATTTCCAGATCTTTTGACATTTAAACTGTCAAGTATATATTTTTAATTATAAAATCAAAAAATCTTTCCTTTACAATTTTTGACATATAAACTGTCAAGCTTGACATTTCTAGACGTTTTAATATCTAGAAATCTTTTATTTCTTGTATTTTTGACATTTAAACTGTCAAGCATGACAAATTTTCAAATGTTAAAATCATAAAATCTTTTTTCTTTAAAATTTTTGACTTTAAACTGTCAAATTTGACATTTCTAGACATTCTAATAACAGGAAATCTTTCACTTCTTGTGTTTTTGATATTTAGACTGTCAAATTTGACATTTCTAGACATTTTAATATCAAGAAATTTTTTATTTCTTGTATTTTTGACATTTAAACTGTGAAATTTGGCATTTTAATATCAAGAAATTTATTATTTTCAAATCTTTTGACATTTAAACTGTCAAGAATGACATATTTTCAAATGTTAAAATCATAAAATCTTTTTGCTTTAAAATTTTTGACTTTAAACTCAAATTTGACATTTCTAGATATTCTAATAACAGGAAATCTTTTACTTCTTGTATTTTTGACATTTAGACTGTCATATTTGGCATTTTAATGTCAAGAAATTTGTTATTTCCAAAATTTCTGACATTTAAACTGTCAAATTAGACATTTTTAGACGTTTTAATATCAAGAAATTTTTTATTTCTTATATTTTTGACATTTAAACTGTCAAATTTGTAATTTTAACATTAAGAAATTTATTATTTTCAGATCTTTTGACATTTAAATTGTCAAGTATGATATATTTTCAAGTTTAAAGATCATAAAATCTTTTGCCATTAAAATTTTTGACATTTAAACTGTCAAATTAGACATTTTTAGACGTTTTAATAACAGGAAATTTTTTACTTCTTGTATTTTTGACATTTAGACTGTCAAATTTGTCATTTTAATGTCAAGAAATTTGTTATTTCCAAAATTTCTGACATTTAAACTGTCAAATTTGACATTTCTAGACGTTTTAATATCAAGAAATTTATTATTTTCAGATCTTTTGACATTTAAACTGTCAAGTATGATATATTTTCAAGTTTTAAGATCATAAAATCTTTTTCCATTAAAATTTCTGACATATAAACTGTCAAATTTGACATTTCTAGACATTCTAATAACAGGACATCTTTTACTTCTTGTATTTTTGACATTTAGACTGTCATATTTGGCATTTTAATATCAAGAAATTTGTTATTTCCAAAATTTCTGACATTTAAACTGTCAAATTTGACATTTTTAGACGTTTTAATATCAAGAATTCTTTTATTTCTTGTATTTTTGATATTTAGACTGTCATATTTGGCATTTTAATATCAAGAAATTTATGCAGAAGACTAGATTTGTCTGCAAGATGTTAGATACTGCTGCCATAAAACTAGGCACCTCTAAATACCGTTTACAACAAACTACTTATTGCTTGTAAGTCCACTACAAATGTTTTTTGACTATATATTGTGGTCAGAAGGCTAGATACTGCTTGCAGAAGACTAGATATGGCTGGCAGAAGACTAGATATTGCTGCTGAATACTACTTATTACTTGCAGAATGCTAGTATTTGGCATAAAACTAAATACCTCTAATGGAGGAGTAGATATCGTTTGCAGTAGACTACTTACTGCTTGTATGTCTCCTGTAAAAGACTTTTTTATTAAATACAGCTGTGAGAAAGTTAAAGGAAATGGAACTGGATTTGGGCAAGCGATGCGAAGGGAGTCTGAAAACATTGATAGCTCAAAACTGAACACGAGACGTGCAGTTGATGTGTTCCAACCCGAGAGTTTAGATTGATATTACTGGCAAATGACTAGATAATACTGCAAATACTTAAACCATTGATTTGACCAAGATTTGGTGTCAAACCTCATCAAATTCTTGTACACATAAACTTTGGAAACTTTCTCTTCTAATCCATTTATTCTAATATTTGTTATTCTTTGACTTATGTCAAAAATTTTAGGTTATAGCTTTAAAATGTCATTTATAAAACGTCAAATTTAATTTTTGTGGTTATGTTGTCTTATTTAAACCCGATCTCGTAATCGTTAAAAAAATAATTAATTTGTTCGGCACGCGTTGTAATAAAAAAAAAGGACAACGAAACGAGAGAAAAAAAGAACGGGTGTAGGGGTAGTAGTGAATGAGATGATCTCTCGGGATCCGGGAAGTAATCGAATTAGGGTCCGGGGCGTTCGTCGGCAGCGGTAACAACGCCCGAGCCGGTGCCGGCGGTTTCGGAATTGATGAGGCGGCAATTTGGGTCTCGTAATTTGGTCTCGAGGGGGACCCCCGAAGGCGGGGCGAGGGCCCTCCGGGTCCGGCCCGTGGGTGGACCGCGCGCGCCGCGGCCCCACGTAATGAAGCGCCCCGATAATCTGGTAAACACAGGCTCGGCGCGTTGATTGTCGGTTTTAAAGGGGCCCTACAAACGCGTCTCCACTTATAAAAGAGACCCGACTCGAAAACGAGACGTTTACCTTCAAATCAATCATTTCAAACTGTCAAATTTTTTTTATTTTTTGACGTTTATGTTGACATTTTAAAATGACGTTTAGAAATGAGGTTTAAGAAACTTTTTGAGGTTACAAAGAAACGTTTGAGGTTAGATCAAATTTTAAATTTCAAGTTAAATAATTATTTAGATATAAATTTTTGAAAATATAATTAAAGTTAATAATAATATTAATTTATTTTAGGTTTATTTCTTTTTATTAAAGAAAGTGGTGTGGCAGCCCTGATCGATCCGCGAATTTGACGTGAAGGTGAAGCTGTCAAGAAGGATTTATTAGATTGAAATGAGATTTTGAATCAAAATCAATCAATTCTTGTTAATTAAACGATTTGGAGTATTATTTTAAGGTAAGCAACCTAAATTCCTTTATGATTTATCATAATTAGAACAAATTAATTGAACAAAAAAAAGATTTACGTTTAGAAATGACGTTTAAGAAACTTTTTGAGGTTAGACCAAATTTTAAATTTTCAAGTTAAATAATTATTTAGATATAAATTTTTGAAAATAGCCGTTTTGATTCCACGTTTGTTGCAAACAGAATTAAACTTAATAATTATAATTAATAATTTATTAATTAATTTTAGATTTATTTCTTTTTATTAAAGAAAGTGGTGTGGCAGCCCTGATCGATCCGCGAATTTGACGTGAAGGTGAAGCTGTCAAGAAGGATTTATTAGATTGAAATAAGATTTTGAATCAAAATCAATCAATTCTTGTTAATTAAACGATTTGGAATATTATTTTAAGGTAAGCAACCTAAATTCCTTTATGATTTATCATAATTAGAACGAATTAATTGAACAAAAAAAAGATTTACGTTTAGAAATGACGTTTAGAAATGACGTTTAAGAAACTTTTTGAGGTTAGATCAAATTTTAAATTTTCAAGTTAAATAATTATTTAGATATAAATTTTTGAAAATAGCAGTTTTGATTCCATGTTTGTTGCAAACAAAATTAAACTTAATAATTATAATTAATAATTTATTAATTAATTTTAGGTTTATTTCTTTTTATTACAGAAAGTGGTGTGGCAGCCCTGATCTATCCGCGAATTTGACGTGAAGCTGTCAACAAGGATTTATTAGATTTAAATGAGTTTTTGGATCAAAATCAATCAATTCTTCTTAGTTAAACGATTTGGAGTATTATTTTAAGGTAAGCAACCTAAATTCCTTAATGATTTATCATAATTAGAACGAATTAATTGAAGAAAAAAGATTTTAGTTTAGAAATGACGTTTAAAAATGACGTTTTAAAATGACGTTTAGAAATGTTGAAAAAAAAATGAAAAGATGGTATTGTTAAGAAGTAAAAGAGAGTTTAAGGGGAGTCTTTAACTGGTCGACCCACCTCGACGTTTTCTCGCCGTACGAACAACAACAACGTCGATTATAAGGAATTACAAACGAGAGAGGAGGGCCACTTGACCGTTCCGCTAACGAACCGAGGACCCCGGTAAGAAAACGTCTGTCGTTTTTCGAGGAGCCCCGCGCCGTTTCCGCACAACACCTGTTGGACGTGGAACGTCGTCCGGCGGCTTAAGGCGTGGCCCCGAAAACCCGCGCCCCAAAACGGTAGTCCGACTTTGTTTTCGGCTAATTAATCGGGTTACGCCTTGCGTCTCTCATGGCCGACGGACGGACGGATGACGACGGCCTTCGGGGGGCCCTCAGAATGAAAGATTGAAGGGCGGGGAGATGAGATGACGCCGCCGCCGCTTGTCGGAAGAATGCCAGAGAACCTCGGGTTGATTTATAATTTTATCAAGCGGCCGGGACTGATTTGACCGCCAATTGTACCATGTACGGGGTTTTTTATCGGGGCTCCCCCACCTTGGGGATTAAGCAAACCGGCCCGTTTTCTTTTTTTCACAATCGTGTTTCAATCAACATTTATTTTTTTAAGTTTCGCCTGATGATGCGGCTTACGTCCCGAAACTAGTCTCGATCATTTTAATTTAAAACGATTAAAAAGTTAATTTGATACTGGCAGCGCTGTATCAAATAATTCTAAGAAAGTCGAAGCGCGTGCGTTGAAATACAATGAGGAGATCAATCATTGAATTAATAACATCTCTTAAACGTTCATTTTAAAACAAAAATTAGAACTTTATTTTTTATTTAATTACTTAAAGAGATAATAAAAGTGAGTGTGATTTGCGACGGGGTTTTGATGCCTTTGGGTATCTTTGAAACTCTCGAAATGAAGGAAGGAGTGAAGGGAACTCTTTTTGTTCCTACGATTCGCTTCACGTGGATGCGAATCCGTGAGCGGGACGACGGTCTTGTATTTAGACACGGCTGACCCATAGTTTCGCCGTAAGAGGCCGTTGTTAAGGCGAAACCTATGGATTCTCGTTCTTCTTAATTTCATTTTTTTTTTAATTTAAAGGCGCATTTAACATTAAATTTCGTGGCGTACACCCTAAAAGTGCGAATTGGAAGCTTTGGCTTAAATGCTACAACACTTGGAAAGCGAACCAAATGCAGAACTTTTACTATTTTTTGATAAAAATTGCAATGATCTTAATAAGAATCAAAAATGCTTTAATTTGATACCAAACATGACATATTTGTGTTAAAAAATAAAAAAGTTGGGTTAATAACTGTCAAATGTCAAAATTAAATATAACGATTTTTTGATAAATATTAAAATGATCTCAATAAGAATCAAAAATGCTTTAATTTGATACCAAACATGATATATTTGGGTTAAAAAATAAAAAAGTTTGGTTAAAAACTGTCAAATGTCAAAATTGAACAACGATTTTTTGATAAACATTAAAATGGTCTTAATAAGAATCAAAAATGCTTTCATTTGATACCAAACATGATATGGTTAGGATAAAAAATAAAAAAAATGAGGTTGGAATCTGTCAAATGTCAAAATTAAATGTAATGATTTTTTGATTAATATTGAAATTATCTTTATAAGAATCAAAAATGCTTTCATTTGATACCTAACATGACATATTTGGGTTAAAACATAAAAAAGTTAGGTTATAAACTGTCAAATGTCAAATAATCGCCATTTTTTTTATGCTAAAAATTAAGATATCTCGATAACGGTTTGAGATAAATAAGTCGAGTTTGGGTTCATTTTAATAGATTTTTAATTTTCTATCCATTAATTTTAAAAAAAGAACAGCTTTATAATAAAAAAAATTTAATCTAAAAGGCTCAATATACGGACGTCGGGTGAGGCGCTAGAATCGATCATTTATACCACCTTTGCAAGAAACGTTTGAGGTTAGATCGTACCAAATTTTAAATTTTCAAGTTAAATAATTATTTAGATATATATTTTTTAAAATGGCACTTTTGATTTGACGTTTGTTGCAATGTTTTTCATAATTAGTCAAAACATTTTAAGGTTATTATATTAGTTGTCAAAATTTTTAGGTTTATTTCTTTTTATTACAGAAATTAGTGTGGCAGCCCTGATTAATCCACGAATTTGACGTGAAGCTGTCAACAAGGATTTATTTTATTAGATTGAAATGAATCAAAATTAATCAATTCTTCTTAATTAAATGAATCGGAGTGTTATTTTAAGGTAAAATAACTAAATTCCTTTATATTTTTGATTAATTTGAATTAAAAAAATAATTTTACGGGAAATAATTTTAACCTCAAAATTTGATTAAGGTTATGTTGTACATCAGTTCCATCAAAATCAATTTATTTTGAGTTAATTAAACAATTTTGGATATGAATCAAGGTAAATAAATAAATATTAGGTTATTTTTATCTTGACGTTTTTGCAAAACAAAGTTTGAGGTTATTAAAAAAATCTTAATATTTTAAGATAAGAAATAACATTTTTAACATGGATATTAAAATCCTTGTGATTTCATATTTTTTAATGCTTTTAAAATATTTTAAGGTTATATTATTTGTTTTATAAAAATTTTTAGTTTTATTTCTTTTTATTAAAGAAAGTGGTGTGGCAGCCCTGATCAGTCTACGAATTTGACGTGAAGCTGTCAACAAGGATTTATTAGATTTAAATGGGATTTTGAATCAAAATCAATCAATTCTTCCCAATTAAATGATTCGGAGTATTATTTTAAGGTAAGCAACCTAAACTCCTTTATGATTCAGCATAATTAGAACAAATTAAGTGAAAGAAAAAGATTTTAACCTCAAATTGTCATTCTAATTTGACATAACTAATTTATTCCGCATTTTCAAGAAATTGAGATATAAACCTTTTTGCGCTTAATGTAAATAATCCTTATTTATGTGGAGATTGAAGAATTTTACATTAACAAAAGAATTTAAATTTAGTCATTTCCGGGTGGATAAGCGATGACTCACACATTTTTTCCCTTTAATTTTTGAAAGGAATCCGATTTAAAAGAAAGGAAGAACAAAAAAGACATCTCTTTTTATTTATGTTTTTTTTATCCTTTTCGTATACCTTTTGGTAGCGAAAGAAACTGGTATAAACTCGACGTGGGGATACTGTCCTACCTGTTTTGTCAAAGCGGACAGGCGACATGACCCATTATAATAACGTCGGGCTGTAAACCGACGTATTGACCCTTGTTTTCGGTCGGTAACGATACCGAACCGGTACGTTGAACACCAAATGAGAGAAAGGAAATTTTTTTATCGCGTTAAATCGTTTTTTTTTTATATAATTTTTGATGATCAATTTTTAGAGAGGAAATTGAGAGGTGAAGATTTTTTTGTGGAAGATGACAACGAGAAAAAGAAGGAAAAGGGTCTTAACTTGAAAGTAAACCCAAGCCCGTTCAAACATTTAACCAATGATTACCGCGTGACACGACGAATTTGTCACCACGGTGACAAAAGTCACCGCAAACCGACCGCGATTGTTTTTAGATGACCCCCCTCCCATTCCATGGCTATCGAGTCGTGTTTACTCCGGTTTACGATGTTTAACCAACAAAAACCAACATGTTAAAAGAGAAAAAAATTGTCATTTTTATGAGTGACAAGGAAAAAATGTCATTTTTTTGTGACACTTAACGTATGACAATTAAAAGAATCAATTTTCTTTTTCTTATTTTAGTCTCTTTCTCACATACACACACATCAAACGATTCTTGGTAGTCGTTAAAGGTCACAATGGTGATCCCAGTTGTGGTCTACTCGGGTCCCCATCGGTGCTTCGCGCGGGGTCAGTTTTATTAATACAGCAAACAATATGGTCCTTCGCGGACCCCCCTCGTTTCCTTCGTCCACTTTCGGTTCTCTCGTAGAAAGGCACGTTATATATCAATGGGGGAATAAAAAGTGTCGCGCCGGCCACCTATCGCTTCATGATGGTGATTCACTTGGTGGAACCAAAAAGAAAATAATAAAAGGAAATAA